ATGCAAAATCCCGAATATGGATTTCTAAAGGAAGACAGTGTAGGGTTCTTGGAAAATCTAGAACTTTTAGGGACTGTGGTTTTCTGGGTCCTCGACAGCGGACCCTGGAGAGACGTGTCCCCACGGACATTCTCAAACCTTTTCCTTAACTGGAGTTGCAAACACGCAGTCTATATTTATATCAACAATATATGGAGGAGGCATGTCTGTATGTATTTACCTCATACATATTTCTATACACTCCAGCGTCTGGGAAGGGTGGGGGGTAAATAACACTGAACGGTTAAAATTATGGAGAAGGGATAATAACTGATTACTAATTTGAAAGTAAACAAACAGGTGACTTTTTCAGATCAAATTCCTCCTTGTATCGTTACAATAAATATCTCTGAAGGAAGCTCTCTATTTATGTTGTCATTGATTAATTCTTCACTACCTCATTTGATTTCGATTTAGAACGATTTGATTCTAATTTAATTAGCATGTAATTTGGATGTACATAATTACTGTAATTATGACATTCAGGTAAGGCAGCTTTAGGCTGAAAGGCAATTTCAAATTTTCTAGCAACCTACTTTGTACTGGGAAATGGACAAGGACTTTGCGCCCTGCTATCCAAGTAGTAATTAGCACATCTTTGAAATAGGCAGTGCGGCGGGGTTTGTATTAAAACAGCAAATACAAACCCAGCCGAGTTACCCGCCGCAAGGGTGGCTGCGAGTCCCCAGAAACGCACTGCGTCTCCCCTGCGCGAGTTCAGGGATCCCGGCGTCCAGGCGCCTTGGCTGGGCTCTCCCTGCTGCGGGCTACGGCGCCTCCGCCGCCTCGGGCGCAGGGTTTGAAGGTGTCGCTTTTTAAATTAAAATACAATAAATACGCGCTGGGGGGTGGAGGACACAAAAAAGAAGGAAGTCACTCCAGGCAGTCTGAGGACGGGCTAGGGTGGGGGAGATAGCGGACTGCGAAGAGGAGGTAAAGGGGCGGCGCGGGGAGGGCAAAGCACTCAGAGGAGAGAAAATTGGCCAACAACCCCAACGGTTACCCGATCTCATATTTGGGTTTCAAAGGTAAAAGGAGAGGACAAAAGGGGTTGGTTTGCTCCGGGATGGCGTGCGCACCCTTCGGGGAGGCCTGGGGAGGAGGGTTTGGGGGCTTCTCGCCGCCCTCGGAGGCCCTGTTAGCCCGGCCTGGCTCGTGCCTGCCTGGCCGCCCCCGCACTCTCCTCGGGCTGGGGTGGCGGCCGGAGGACGAAGGCGAGGCAGAAGGCTACTCCGGCCTGCCTCGGGTTCCGGCTGCGAAAGCAACGGGTCCCTCGCCTTCCCAGATTGTCCACGGGTGGTGGCGGGGTGGGATGGTTTGGTGGCCTGTTGGCATCGGCCTGGTTCCAGCCGGCCCTGGATGGTCCACGCGGGCTTTGCGGGACGGGAGCCGCGGATGCAGGGTCATGGGAGCCTGAGTCTACAGCTGGGTCCCCACATCCTGGGGTCCAAGTCGCCGCCGACAGCGCTCAGTGTTCTCAACTCTAAGCTGGAAGACCCTGAAGTTGCCTTGAAAAGGATGTTAAATGCGACAATTCTAAGACCAGGGCCAAGCGGTCTTTACTTTGTTTTGTTCCAATTTTCAGTTAGCACGTTCCAGAGATGACCCTCTTGCCCAGAAGCCACTGCTAAGCAGTGCTCCCCGCCCCCAAGAGCAGGGCTGGTTCCCCGCTGGAACGCAAACCCTCGCGTTTCTTCGCAGGATCCGCTGGGTTGCTGCTGCTGGAGGCAAAAGCTGGTCTCCCAGCGCTGACAGCCGCGAGCCACGCAGGCGGCCGCCTTTCTGCCTGGGAGCTCTAGATGGCGCCAGCGAGCCGCACTCGCCAAGCTCCTCTTATGAGAATCAAGAGCTACTGTCAAACATAAAAGCAAATCAGAGTTTTCAGTTTTTTTAATGTGTTAAGAATGTTATTCCTTAAGAAAATTTGTAGCTAAATTATTCTCACTTAAAATAAACACTTAGTATACCAATTACACAAATGGGCGGGATTTATGTGAGATTTACTTCATCTGCATTTTTGTAGTGGAAGAGAGTCTTGGTGAATACAGATAATAGATGCAAATAAGATTAGAGTTAAAATAAATAAAGTTTCCATCTGAATAAAAAGAAATTCAATTTTACACGACTTGTAACGATTTGACGAAGGTCCAGACACGCCATTCAGGTGCACAATCTAATCTCATCAAAATAATGTTGTTTCCCCCTCGAAGAAAGAAAATCTCTTTTCTTTTTCCTCATCAGGTAGAACCCAATTCAGTCCACGGGGAGAAAACTGGCGTCAGAAAAGGAAACGCCGGAGGATGGTGCGGATCGTGGCTGGGTGGGCGCTGGGCCGAGGAAAATTTGGTCTTCGTTTCTCTGCTGCGCTGGAAGCCAGGGGACAGGAAACACCGGGGAAACCCGGGGACTCGAAATCGCACTGTCCTCACTCTGGCCTGGGCGGGACTCTGCACCCCCAGGCCGCGGCCCCCACCCCCACCGACCTCCAGGCTGCTGCCCACCTCTGCCCTTGGGTCCCTGACCGCCGCCTCTGGCTCCTCCTGGCCCCTGAGCCGGGGAGGCCCAGGCCGCCGGGGCCCCGAGGTGGCCCTGGGGAGGCGGGATCCCACCGCAGTTGGGGACCGAACTTGTATTCTAGTTCGGGGGGCTTTCTCCTCCCGCGCGCGCTGTCTCCAGTTTGGTCATCCCCAGCCGGATGGTCGCCACCCGCTCAGGTCAAAGTTCCCCGCGCCCCCAGGGGCGCCTAGGCCTGGGGGGAGGGCGGGCAGGAGGCCTGGGCCCTGTTTTCGCCGGTTGGCTTCAGCCGGGGCACCGGGGCCCCACTCCCTCCGAGCTCAGGTTCTGCGCACTGCCGTCTCCCGGCTGGACGCTCTGGCCGGGGCTACCGCCCGCCACTCCCAGGAGCCTGGGTGATGGACGTCCGCTGACCCGCAGGGCAGAGGCAGCGCGCACAGGCCTTGATCACTGGCCTGCGGAGGGAGCCGCGCGGCCAGCGGGACCTGCACGGCCGGGCCCTTTGATCTGCCTTTATTATCAATAAGAAACAAAGCTGCCTGAGCCCGACGCCCGGGCGCCCGCGTTCCTCGGGAGACCCACCACACCCTCTACTCCGCGCCGCCAGCCCGCGGCCCCTAAACGCGCCAGGCACCCTCTGGGCTCCAGCGCCCCGGGCCGAAGCCCCTCCAGAAAACGCGCCGCTGCCAGCCGGTTCTCCAGAAGACCATCCCCCAACCAGAGGCGCGTGGGGAGTCGGGGGCTCCTGACTATGAACAGCATGAGCCGGGAGAGAAAATGGCTAAAGTGAAGAAAAACTCGAGGAAGAAGAGCGGGGCAGCCTGGCTGCACGGTGCGCAAGGAGGAGGAAGAGGCCCTTGAATGTCATGCTGCAAACTCCCTGCTGGGGACCTTCGTTCTGTTTTATCGCTACTTTGCGACTTGGTGTTTCAGAACAGCTTCCGAGAAAACACTCTGCTGGTTGTTAATAACAAGATTTTATTTTTTCTTTCCTAAAAATCAAAACTTTCGTTCAAATTCCCAAGGCGGAGAGTCATCAAAAATGGGGAAAAAATTATGTTGGTGCTGACTTCGCTTGTATTTCCACTTGCGTGGGAAGTCTTTTAGAAATATTTTTATTCTGTAAATATGTACTTTATTTTCTAAATCAACATTTTTTCGAATTGCGAAATTATCTCATTTACCAATTTTCTTTTTGTCTCTCCCTCTTTTAAACTGGGGCTGTTAAGTTGGTGGTCAGAAGACAAAGAGAGTGAAAATAATTTTCATTTCAATAATTGCCTTCTGGTCAATTTAACTGCGCCTTATTTTGAAAGAGACTGTCTAAATGAGATTCCTGTCCCAAATGTGTTCCCAGGCCTGATCCCAGCCTTTAATTATTCCTGAGTTTTTTTCTTCAGAATAAGACGCCGCACTGAGTAATCACAAAGAAGTCAGAGAGCATCCTTGAACCTTTTCAGAAGCAGCGCCACTGATATTCAAATAACCTGCGAGGGCCATTTGACGGCGCCGGGACCTAGGCATTTCCAATTCACTATTTGCATAGATCAGCCGTCTTTGAAAAGGAAAGGAGCAGTTGTCTTCCCTAACATTAAAAAGCCTAGTTATCAAATCAAGTGCTTAGTTTGGGGGCTTTTAAAACGTTTACATTTTATCTCAGGTTGCCCTTTACCGTTTGACATGCAAATTTGGTGCAGTTAATTTAGACAATTAAAAAGATCTTCAAGGGAGCTTTGTCACAGAGAATATTTGGAGTTTTCCCCGCGGACCAGCTGAGATAAAGTTGGCCAGAACAAATGATGTCTAGGAGATTAATTAGATATTTGATAAGACATGAATCCCTAATAAGGGAATACAAGGCACAGGGGGCTGCTGTGTGCTCTAAGTCAAAATTAATAACATTTAACAAGATTTTCATTTAGGCATGAAATGTCTTTTCCGGGGTATTGACTCTAGCGATTTATTCCCTTGAGTTGCTTCCCAACATACAGGGCCTTGGGAGCGAAAAGACTTCTTTTTAAAAAGCGTTTTTCTTTCACAGATTGTTTTTAAATCACTTTTTGAAAACAAACAAAACCACCAGTTTTCTCTGACCCCTCCCAGAGGTTTAGGCATCTCCCCAGCTAAAGCTGCCAAGGACCTTTGCATTTAGGCGATCCAGAGTTTTAAAACGTCACCTTTTGAGGGCCTTCACATTAAGTAATAGAACTACACGTCCTTATAACCCAATTTAATTTACACTGTTGATATACAAATAAATAATTTTGACTTCTCAAAAACGCGTATGTAGTATGGCTTTGGTAACCCACATAAACTTTACATTACCTACAACTAACATTAAGGAAATTTTTTTCCCAACCAAAAAACAAAAACAAAAACAAACCAAAAAAAATCGACCCACGAAAAGGTTATTGAGGGGGAAACAGGATTTTAAAAAAAAGGAAATGTATTGTGCAGAGTCCTTTAATAATACCAAAATGAAAATATGATGTCAAGATTTTCTTCATACAGATAAACGCATTTAATTTCTTTAGATGACCTTAACTTACGTATTTGTGAGTGAAATGATAACTCAACATCTTAAATATCTTTTACATATATACTGACTTTCACAAAGTGCATCAGAAAATTAAAAAAAAAAAACTCCCTGAATTTCAGGGATTCACCAAAAAAAAACTATTCGAATGAACATTTACAAGAAAATAAAAGAGAACACAATCTTTTGAACCCTATTTATACATATGTTATGAAATACAGAGAAACTGTCGCTAGACTTCCAGTTTAATTTCTCACCTTAAGCCTTTTGATGCTTCCTTTTTTAGGGAAAAAAAAAGTCTCATTGTAAGTAGATATCAAGCAGGACTTGGAGCATTTTATAATATAATATAATCCACACAAAGGGTGTTTTTTATCGGTCCCGTTTGTTTTCAAATGTTCTGACAGTCCTTTGCTGGGTGGTGGCTTGTTTTTGAGAAAAGGAAAGAGAAGGGTGTTGGAGGGACATGGAGAGTGGGGAAAGAGGGAGCCTTTCTGTGTATTGCTCTTCGCTCGAGAAGTTTGGGCGAGTGGTGTGTGTGCGCGCGCGCGAGTGTGCGTGCTTGTGGTTGAGGGTCTCCGGTGTATGTGTATGTCTGGACGTACAGTTTTTAAAGTGTTTGTGTCGGAGGATGGTTCGCTTTTGTTTCCGGACCACGCGTTCGATTCTCATCTGGGCGCGAAGGCGGGGGAGAGCTCCTGACACGGCGGGCGAACCGCAACCCCAGAGCCCCGCGCGGCTCCACCTCGCGCCCAGCCCGGGCCCCGGGGGCGTCACTGGAGCCCCATGCCCTCCCGTCCCCCGCTCGCTCGCCCTCCGAACCTCTCGCTCGTTCTCGGTGTCTCTACTCGCTCGCGTGCTCGCGCCTCTCGCCCGGCCTCTAAGAGTCGTTGGGGCCAGACGCTGCTTCCTTGCCTCCTGCGGAGACCGCCGCCGCCGCCGCCGCCGCCGCCGCCGCAGCTGCCGCCGCTCGGGCTGCACTGACGCCGGAGTCATGCAGGATGAGGTCGGGGGATTCGGAACGGGGTGTCTCCAGGTTGCTGGCGTCCGTGTCACTGTCGCTGCCCTTTTTGCCCCCGCCGCCCCCGTTGTGCGTCTTAATGTGTTTGCTCAGGTGGTCGCTGCGCATGAAGCGCTTGTTGCACACCGGACAAGCGAAGCGCTTCTCGCCCGTGTGAGTCCGCAGGTGCCGCTGCAGCTCGTCCGAGCGCGTGAAGCGCTTGCCGCAGAAGAGCCAGTTGCACACGAAGGGCCGCTCGCCCGTGTGCCAGCGCAGGTGCGCCTTCAGGTGCGACGTCTTCCCGTACACCTTGCCGCAGCCCGGGATATGGCAGCTGTGCAGCCCCTTGCGCCGCAAGCTCGCCCCGGCCGGGCCCAGCCGCTCCGCCTCCTGGCAGTTGGGGCAGTCGCAGGTGGCGCGGCCTGAGTAGCGGCGGGCAGAGCGTGCTGAGCTCCCCCCGGCGGCGGCGGCCGCGGCGCCCGAGATCATGGCGCTGGCCGCGGCTGCTGCCACGGCGGCGCTGGAGTCCGAGTAGGAGGGCAGCACCGGCTTGAAGCCGTCCTGGGCCAGCAGGTGCTGGCTGGTGGAGAGCAGGTGCGAGGCGGCGGCGGCGGAGGAGCCGAGGCCCGTGGAGCTGAAGGCCGAGTGCGTGAGCGAGCTGAAGTCGGGGTTGTAGGTGCCCAGCTGCGAATGCAGCGAGGCCTGGGGGGCGCCCGAGTGCAGCGAGCTCTGGAGCCCCCCAGCAGGGTTCTGCACTTCCAGCCACGAGCCTGGGCTGCTGTGCACGTCCCACCACGACGACGCCGCGCCGTTGGTCACCTCGCCGGCCGCCAGCGTCGAGTGGAAGCCCGACTTGTACCACGACTCGTACGGGTGCGCCATGCCCACGCGCGGGTACAGGCCGTCGGCCGCCGTCGTGTGCACCTTGGAGATGAAGGCCGACTGGCCACCCGCCTCCTGCGGGGACACCCCGGCCGCCGCCGCCGCGGCCGCCGCCGAGTTGGAGAAGAGGCCGCCGTAGTCGCTGCTGAAGGCGGACGACGTGGGCGACGTGGAGGCCAGGCAGAATGCGCTGTTGGCTGCGCCCGAGCCACCCGCCAGGCCGCCCGAGCCACGGCCCCCGGTGGCCACGGCGAAACCCGAGAGGCTGGAGCCGAGGTTGCAGCTGGACGAGGAGCGCTTCCAGGGGTGAAAGCCGCCTTTGGCGAAGGCGCTCGACTCCGGCAGCGTCGTCAGCGGGCTCGTGTTGCCGATCTTGTTGCAGGTCGCCGCCAGCATGGCCAACGGGGTCGTTCCGAAGCGCGGCTCTTCCTAGAGTGGGTGGGATGAGGGAGGGAGCAAGGAGGAGGAGGGCAGGAGGAAGTGGGGGAGAAACAAAGTGCACCCGTGAGCAGCCTCGTCCCCTGCAGCGGCTCCCGGGGGGCCGTGGCTCCCCGGCTCGAGCCTCTTCCCCACTCGCTCGCAGGGGAGTCGCCGTGCCCCGCGCGGGGCAGGGGCGATCACAGTGACGAAGGTCCGGGCGCCGGAAAGTTGCTCTTCGCTGAGCCTATAAATCAAAGATGCCTCCGGTTCCCCGCCTCAGTCGCTGCAACCCTGCCTACAACCGGACTTTGGTTGTCGCTGTAAACCGGCTCCTCTCCCAGAAGACCCCAAGTTGCCCTTCGGGGTGAAGCACGAAGGTAAACACAGAGACAACAAACACCAGGTGAGGGCGGAGGCGGCCGAAACAGCTGCCTGGGACAGGCGAAACTTGCAGCACTCCAGGGTGGCTACGACTTGACTTTTTTTTTTTTTTTTTTTTTTTTTAATAGAAAACGTTTGGTTTTAAAGTTTACGCACACACACAAACACAGCGATTATGAAAACAACAATCCGAGGATAAGCGGCCAGCAACGTATTTCAAAGTCACGGGTGAACTGGGGAGCCGCGGAAATGCAAATGTTTATTAGCCTGACTAAATGAACTGCAAAAACGATTAAGGCTGTTTTCTGGAAACACCTCTGTCATGTAATTGCAACAACCCCCAAAGCAAGGCGGGGGGTGGGGTATAAATCACCAGGGGAAGAAAAAGAAACCTCTAGCTTTTCTTTGAAACAAAATAAAAAAGGACTTGCTTAAGGAGGCCTTTTCTTGCAAAGGCATCTGCTGGGTTCCAAAAACTTGGGAAAAAATCAATCCCAGAATTGTGGAAAGTGCTAATAGAAGCTGAAGCTGCAGTCCAGCAGCAACAGTTTCTCGGGAGTCGCAGACCCCAGAAGCCATAACGAAAAATTACTCCGGTTAAAACAAGCAAATGCGTTGCAGCGCTTGCGACTTACCCCGAGTATAGACGTGGCCATAGCAGGTCTCTGGCTGCGCAGCGAGGCTGGGAGCGGGGCTGAGCCTGGCGGCTGCTCGGAAAAACGGATTGGGTCCCGCGCAGCTCCCGCGTCCCCGCGCTCGCGCCGAGCGGACTCCGGGCTCCCGCCGGCTAAACTCAGCCTAAGTGCGAGGAGCACCCGCTTTGAAGTGCCGCTGGCTGTGCCTCTCGCCCAATGAGGGCGCAGGCAGAGCAGACGGGAGCTGCCCCGCAGCCAATCAGACGCGCCGAGGGGCCCGAGCCTGGGCTCCCGGCGCGTGCCAGTCAAGTCCGCAAGCTAGGACTGCGGGTGGGGGTAGGCAGGGGGGCAGACTGGTGGGGGGGCGGGGGCGGGCTGGGGACTGAAGAAATTACAGTGCAATTAAAAATTTACACACACGCACCAAGCCAGGTTTAAGTACCAGTGAAACCCAGCCACAGGCACCCCCCCACACACACACAAGCCACCCCAAGATTTTGCAAGTTAGGGTTGACAGTCCTACTCGACTCCCCACTTGTAGGAAAGGAGGCAGGAGGGGAGGAGACATTGAGGCAGAGGCCACACCAGCAAGGCCCCAAGAGGAGACAGAAACGTCAGCGCTCACTTTGTGTGTCCAGGTTCTTGCCCGCAGAGCACAACTTCAGCTTGTATCTATCATTCTTGCTTGTGATTTTTATTATTTTCGTGTGTCTTCTATCCAATTCTTTATTCCACTAGATTCAGTGTTACTCTCTCAGTTACACTGGGGAGGGGCGCGAAGAGACAGCTCCTCCGAGAGGGCGAAATAGGCCTCTATGTACAGGTTTACACCCACAGATTTGTTGGGAAGTCCTGGAGCCTGCTGCATCCCGCCATTTCCCCCCAGCGATGTAAGTGACTTCCTAATTGTCGCTCTGGCCTCTGACCCGGGGGGTAATACAAGTGCCACTCACTCTAGAGGCTTCTGGTGGTAATTGAGGGCACCCTTTGTACGGTTTCGCCAGCGCTTAGATACCAGGTTAACCCAGTTGTCAAATATGACTAAACAGTGGGATGTGCTGATTATCTGCCGAGTTTTGCTGGGGGCTGGTGTGGGGGTGGGAGGCATCAGCCCATACAACACGCTGCACGAAGCCGCTTATTTTCACATTGTAACAACTTTGGAAACAGAGACCGGCGCGAGCGGCGTCCGCCCCCACCTCCACCTCCGCTGAGGCTGCAGCTTGCTCGGCTGTTTGTTTAACCCGGTGAAGATTTGCATGTCGCGTTTCATCCTGGAGTGGAGTTTTGTCCCAGCTCCAACCCACTCCCACTCCAGACCTCCCTAGAGGCTCGTCTGCAGGGCAAGTGCGCCGCGTTAAGGTGGGCTCCCCTTCAGTGTCCTGCTTTCACGGACGTGCCTGAGAAACCTTTTCAGGACTGTCACCCGGGAGGGCATAGGACCAGGCCACACATGGACGCCTCCACATTTTGCAGGCTGGAAGCATCTTGAAGTCCTCCTTGGACCTTGTCAGTGTCAAAAGAGGTGTCCTCAAACAGACCAAGGTGAAGCTTCGAGTCCCCCAGCAACCGCTGAACTGCTTGTTTTTCTCTTTCTTGGCCCCGCTTTCTCTTTCTTCTCCAGGGTAGCCAGAAGCTGTTTTTGAACCAGAAATACCAGCGCGCCCTTGGACAGACCTGGGCACTGGCTTTAATTTAGCACATTCCCCACTAAACCCACACCCTGCTTCTTAGAGAAAAAAAAAATCAACTATCAACCCCAAATGCTCGGGTGCAAACGACGAGTTGTCTTGGAGCGGGTGCAAGTGACAAGGACGTGGAACTGTGCCTCCGTGATTTCTCTCCTCTTTTGCAAGATCTCTTGACCCAACAGTACGACCAGCGTGGCGCTGCTCTTGGCCCTGTGATGGAGCCTGGGTGCGTCTTGGCGCGTTCCGTGGGTGGGGACTATGTGGGTCGCTTTCTTGGATTCCTGTTAAAATACTTTTGCTCGGAATGGTTTCTCTTTTTATTTTTTATTTCTCTTTTTTAAGGTGGCGAGTGGCGAAAGCACAGAGGAAGAGAAGGGACGGGAGAAGAGAACGAAAAGGCTCTAGTGGCTGTCAATGAAGTGCTGTGCCCTGGGAGACTGAGGTGAAAATAGGGGTGGGGAGGTGTGAAAAGTCTCTGGGGGACGCGGAGTGGAGGGTGGAGGAGAAATCGGGCCGCCTGGAAGAGCTGGAAAGCCCAGCAGGGGGACCCAGGAGCTGTTCCCAACAGGTGACTTCTGCCCTGGAAGAAGACACTGGCCTTCGGCTTCCCATAGAGTCTCCGCGTGGATTTACTAATAGAGGGATTGTTAAGTGGCAGCGAGGCGTTTCCGACTCACCCTGTGCAGCCTAGGGAGGAGATGCGCCGAGGTTTCCCCTGTCCACCTCCTCCCCCACCCCCAACACACCCTCTCCTTAAGGAAACCTGACAAAGTAATAAATAAGACAATCCGAAAAGCCACTTAGCAATAGTGACATTTTCAAGCCAACCATTTAAAACAGTTCTTGCAGGCGCCTCGGGCTCCCGGCGCCCTGCTCGTCCTGCTCTTCTTCTCCTCCCCTTGGCTTCTCTCCCCTCCCCCTCCTGCCGTTTCCCCGTGGTTCCAGCTGTCAGACTCTAGACGTGGGCACTCGCATATTCCTTTAGATACACGCGTCTGCATCACAATAAAAGTTAGGGAAATCTTCCAAACGAATGCAGGCAAACACCCGGGCCACTTCAACTCTAAGGTGGGGCCCCAAAGAAATCTTTCGGAGGAAGTCCAGATTTTTTTCATCTGACAGATTTTTTTTTTAATCGTCTAAAAAATCTAGTTTTTAAACAAAGATCAATGTGTTATGCTAAAGTGTTGAGCTGACTGTTAAAACATTTGGGGAAATAATGACAATGTAACAAAGGCCTGGTTTGGAGTGAATCATCACCCTTTTAAAAGTTAAAGCAATTTTCAGGAGAATAGCTTTCAGCAAACGCTTTACATTATTCAAAACGGCCAAATAATGCTCTATTATAGCGCCTGAATGCTGCCAGTCAGCCCCTAAGTGCAATTTGTGCAAAGGCCCCGGTGCCTTATCTCCACTTCTTTATAAAGAGGTGAATATAAAACAATTTCTTCCAAACCCAGACAGAGAGCACGAAAATTGCTTCCCTTTCTGCAATCAGGGCAATTTAACTGGAGTGCAATTAGCACTATTAAATGTCGATTCTGCATAAACAAATCTGACTGAGCAGCGAAAGTGGGGTGAGAACCTCATATACACTGAAACTGATTTTTTAAAATTATGTATCCGGGTCCTTTACAATTGATCGGTGACGTTTTCATCTTGGAATATATTTACATCATAAATACACTATGGTTAAATCAACATAATTTTTTTGCAAAAAATTTCAATACGAATCCTAATAAGGAAGAATAGGGTAATTAAAGGGAAGAGTTCACTTCCTTTGAACAAATATTGTTTCTACCATCTTGCCTCTCCCGAAAGCTTTGAGCTGAGCAACTGCTCAAGTTGCTGTGTTTAGAAGGCAAAGCCAGGGAAACAATTCAGTCATTAGCTCTGATCGGAATGATTGGACCTCCTGAGCCACAGATAAAATGCTTCTCCCTCATATGCAGGAAGCAGAGTGGGAGGACCAGTTATTTTCTGAATAACTCGATATACTAGCTGCTTAAATATTAGGTGGCTACCCAGTCTCCCTGTAGCTTTAACCTGGCAGAATTTAGCAGCAGATATACGCCACTGGGGTGGGGTGAGGTGGGGTAGGAGGGAGGTGAGGTGGAGTCGGGGGACTCCAGAACACCACTGAAGGGGAGGCGTTGGGGGAGGAGGAACAGAAAATGCTCGCCTTGGCCAGGCTGGCTGCAGTCAAAATCTGGACCACCATGACCAGGAGGCCTGGGGGGTGGGGGGGGATGATGGGAGCCCAGCCTATAAAAATCCGACCTGTCCTCCCAACTGCCTTTATTTACTTCCTAAGCCACAGCGCTCCTTTTTAAATCATTTGTGCAATTAATTATGCTTTTCATTTGCATGATCTTCACTAGAGCAGTGATTATCAGGTCAGCACGGTGTGGGAGTTGGGGAGATACATTAATAACTTGAGTTAAAAAAAAAAAAAGAAAGAAAAAGCTGCCCTTGTGTACCCACGTTGCCTGCCATGAGCAAGGAAGAAGGAAGCCCAGGAAGGTCCATAGTGCCTGTTGAGTCGGGTGAATCCTTCACACAGTTGGAGTCTTGTCAGTGGGTGAAAATGAAATACAGCCTTTGATTAGAAGGGAATCTTTTATAGTTAACACATATTTATATTTCTTAAGCACCAGTTGTTGAGATCAAACGGATGGAGAAAATTAATTGAAAATTAAGAAACTCTCCCACAGTTTCTGTTGAGCTTTCATTTCATATTTGTTTTATAATGTCCTAATTCCAGCCCAACCCTTGCAAATGAAAGAGCCAGGAAGAATCAATAGGCCAATGGGACTTTCATCTTTTTTTCTGTATCTCAGAGGCGTCACTGCCATTTAACAGTGGCAGAAGATGCAAATCTTTCTTGCCTCTGTAGGGTCGGCTGAAGAAATTGAAAACCCCTAGTCTATCAAGTACAGTCCAAACGTTTGTTACACAACTAATTTTCTGCTGCTAGATGTATCCTGGCCATATATTTTAAGCTTGCCCCGATCTGTTTATCTAAGCCAAAAATGCATTAACAATTAAGGGAAAGGCTGGTGTGTCAAAGGAAGGAAGGTGACTGTAGACTGTGTGATGATTTTAATGACTGCAATTATTGGAAGATTATTCAACAAGCATCATAGATTTGTTTACTGCATCACTCGGAAACTATGGGGGGCCTATTCAGCTTGGGGTTTTACTTTCCTCCCTCCCTCACCAGCTACCACAGAAGGGTCTAAGACCTAAGCAAATGCAGCATTCTGTAGTGCCTTTCTTCTTTTTAAGAGCATCTCTACCAAAATGATGCACATGTATTGTCTCAGCCAACTCTAATGGAACTCTGGAGGTATTAAAACAATCTTTTCACATAGACTCTAATATCAAGAAAAGCCAGAGGCCAGAGGATTCTGATCATTAGTCAGCTTCTCCTAGCCAGGGTACCAGTTTCCTCAGTTTTAGC